TATATATCATCCTAGACAATCAAAAGGCAGCATAACGCCTCTTCAATTATTCGCCATCTAAGTCCTCGCAATTGGAAATTCTAGAAATTCTAGAATTTCGAAATCTCGCATCTAGCTGGGCAACAAGGAGAATTCTGCCTATCGCATCTCCTGGAAAGGTCCAAGTTATGTGGTCTCCCGGTCACATAGGTATTCCAATTAATGAGCTGGCCGTCAAGGCGGCCGAAGAGGCGGCTCGTCAGCCAGCTCCCCATGCTGCGTCCCTTGCCGGAGTCCGCGCAAAGATTAAAAGGCAAATATGGGACTTGACCACAGCTTGGTGGCAATCCCATGTTCCCTCTACCTATTGTGAGTTAGGGATGCCATTTCCCAAGAAGCCTCCTGAGGAACTACGACACCCTCTCCGATATCTCGGGTATTTAATCCAATGCTGCACTGGACACGGTGACTTTAGTGCTTATCACGAAAGGTTTCACCATCTTGATGCCCTTCTGACTTGTTCCTGTGGGGATAACAAGTCAATCATTCATTTAGTTCTTTGCCCCATTTTGCGAGAGAGACTGGCTTCGATCGACCATCGACGAAGTATGGGCTCACTCTATTCTCTTCTAAGCACCTCCCCAGGAGCTAAGCGTTTCGCCAACACATTGGAGAGGGTCAGGTTCCTGTCAAAAATCTGCCCACTCCATAACATATGAGCTATTCTTGTGAGGTACCCGCTGCAAAGTGCTCGCAGTCTCTAAATGTATTTTCAAGGCCTCTGTTACAGGCTAATGCCTTTGTAGTTGGATCCGGAGATTATACGGCTCCTTTTGATTACATAATGCGGCGCTAGTAACACGTTGGGGGAAGTTAGATAGTTATTAGAGTGTAAATATTTTCTTTCTTCAGATTAATAGACTCATTTTTGGGCACTTTTGAGCGAGCAGCAACATTGCCTGTCCTTTCACAGCCTCTGCCACTGCACATCACGTCTTGTATTACTTAGTAGTCACCATGTCCCCTTAGGGATGAGGCTTTAGTTGTAACTAGTGCCTGGTAGACATAAAAATAAATAAATAAATTACTTGAATCAATGCGCCCCACAACCTCAATGACTGAGGGATCATTATTATCTCAAAATATGGCAACATTGAGAGAATTACACAATAGATTCTTATTCATGATTGGATAAATCACGAGAAGAGGAAGTGGCAGGAAGGCAGCTCTAATGTAGAGATGAAAGAAGTAGATTGGCTATGAGGAGAGAGTATCTAGAGGCGGACAGGGACTATATGCTAACGTGCACGTACCACAAGTACTCACGCTATTGTACCTAGGGCCAGGTTGAGGCGAGGCCGTAACTGGATAGAACAAGTCCACATAAAAAATGCGGTCGAAAGGCTGCTTAGGGATCGACACAGGACGGACGCATTACTGGGGTCAGCACAAGAAACGTGATTGATACACTGGGACGACATTAGAATTTGATTGTGCTTCCCGAAGGATAAATCATAAATTTCAAGAAATAAATCAGAAACTGGGGGTATTTCCCCATATATATAGGTTTAAAGTCGCCTGCATGGGTCCATGGAGCGCCAAACCAGGATAATAAACTCGAGTCCAAAATATATATATAAATAAATATGTATATAGATTGATAGAGTTTGTAGCCACATGCATAGGCCCATAGCCGCAGCATCATGTCTTTTGAAGTCCTATCAAAAGTTTTAAAAATATATCGCTAATAGGCAGTTCCCAGTAAAGTCTGGGGCTAAAGATGCAAGACGTATGGGTCCATCTTTATGATCCTGATACGGAAAAGTAGAGGTGTGTATCTAATTTAGAATATACCTTGAATCTATTGTGAAATAGGTATGAGTTAGATGAGTAAGGCAACTCAAGGAATATGGGCGCGATTTACGGATAGAATAATATCAATATGAGTAGGAAGAAAATATAGTACGCTGTAGAAAGAGAAGTGCGATATAGAATGAATTAAGTTGATTAAATTATCTGTCTTGGTGATTCCTAGACAGCTTCTGTTCATGTATACTTGATAGACCAAATCCAAACTCGATACCATCCATCACTCGTTCCATACTTGAACAATGACAATGAATCGCACGACAGTATACAACATGAGTATGGGGTCAGGGTCGGTGGATGAAAGCCTACACGTGTAATAGTCCATACCATGCACTAGTCGAGTCTCAAGCATCAAACATGCTCAGTTAAGGAGATATCAATCATCTAGGTCATGAGTCAGGCTGTGAGTCATGTGTGAGAATCTTAATTGTTCCAATCATGGGAAAACTTCAGACACATAGAGTCTGAATTTCCAACAGAATCTCATTTTTTGCTGGTATAAAGGTCTAAGACATGCTAGATCTGACCATGCCTAGAATCTTTTGCTTCAATCAAACTTTGAAATATCGACTACCCATTCAGTTGGTTAATGTTAAGGGGGAGGCGAGGTGCGATGTCAGGGTGATAAAGAGTCTGGAGAATATAGGTTAGGTTTATCTAACTGAACGTGACACAGTCTGTATCTTATGCGCGCTTCACTCTATTTGTACATGACAATCGAGACCCTAATACTAGGGCTGTTGAGAATCCAGCCTTGTGAATCAGGCCTACGTGAACTAAAATCTAATCAAATTCCAACTCATGCAATTTTTTTGAAATTCGAATTTTCGAATCTTCACCTTTTTCCCGTCTCCCTCCCTCACGCGCTCGTCGCATTCTATCATAAAATTGTGATCGAGTCGCCGGCATTTTCACCATGCCACCTGTTCGAAAAAAGCGTCCCAACGCCAAGTTGGACAACACGAGAGTCCACCCGAGGGCTCTCGAGCAATTACCTGGCCTTGCCCAGTCTCCGAAATGCGCGGAGATGAGCAAGGTCTCCATCAAAGGGAAGGAAAAAGCCCTCCCCGCCGTCGCTGAACCCGATACTGACATGATCGGGTCAGTCGAAATTAATGAGGAAATCTCTCAGCGACCCTCGGTCCCCCACAGGATTGGAGAATCGTCCAAACCTCCTCCGACCACCTCCAAACCGTCGGAAAATGCTGCACCCATAGCAGCATCAACATCAACGTCGCAGCCAAAAGCTGCCACGAAAGCAGAGTGTCCCCTCGAGCTCCGACCAATAGTCGAAGCTGAACAACGACGCGCCGCCGAAATAACGGCAAATCTGGCCCTCTGCTCCGCCGCCATCTCTGGCGTCGAAGCCACCCTCCTCCCTTTGACCAACGGGTTAAATAGACAATTCGTAGACTCCATGAGAGTCTACCTACGCGCCGCCATTGCGCAATACATGGCCACGGGCCCGGCCACTGCGCCACCCGTCCTCCCTCCTCGCCCAACAAACCCTCTCCCAAGGGCTCCCGACGCCAGGAGACGAACAATACCCACCGTCCCAGCTCTGCCTGTCAAAAGCACCTGGGCCACGGTGGCCAGACACGGACTGCAACAAAAAGCAGGCCCAACTGTGAAGGCTGTGCCGCGACCTGCGGCCAAAGCCCAACAAAAAGAAAAACCCAAGGCGAAAGTCGATAAGCGACTGTTCCTTCGCCTTGAAAAGGACCACCCGTGGCGAAAATTGTCGAAAAGCAGCGTGAGAACTAAGTTAGAGTTTACATTCAGCTACTTTAACCAAGAAATAACCTCACTCCACTAAGTGAGAACGGGCTTTGCTATGCTAGCAAAGAACGAAAAAACACGACAAGAGACGTTAGATGGCTCTTTGAAGCTGGCGAGTCTAAAAGTCAAACTCGAGGCATCTTCGGATCTTGCCGCCTTACAGATACCAAACGTACCTGTAAGTATAGTTACAGTGTGCAGCACCAGGGCGGTCGATGCTAGCTGGGTCTCTACCAAGATACTCGGTACGACCGGCGCAATTCCAACACAGGTTCGACCTCATAGGACATGTCGACCTGGGGCACCGTATCAGAACTGGCATGTCCTTTTCACGCGGGACAACGCCCCTCGTGCGGGCTTCCGCATCTTCGACGAATCTGGTATGGCAACCATTCACAAGCCTCGTCGCCAAATTGAACAGTGTAAACGCTGTTTAGGCTTCCACGCCACTCGTGGTTGCTCCCGCGCTCCAGCCTGCTGGAACTGCGGCTCCAACATGCACTCGGAAGCCGAGTGCAAGGCCCTCACTAAGTGTCGCAACTGTGGGGGACCCCACCGATCGGATTCTCGGGACTGCCAGGTCAGACCTAGAAATTCTGGGCCGGTGACAAGCTAGGGCTGCAGCCAAAAAGGCTGAAGAGGCGATCGTCGCCGCGGCGAAGGATGTCGCAATGGCCGAGGCAACAGGTTTCGGAGTGCTGGGATCTGAAGAAGAAGTTTGAGGACACAGCAACCTCGACGATGTCCCCTGCTGGGGCATCCACTAACAATTAGCAGGATACCGGCTGGATCAAAGGTGCCTGCTAACTCATCTTTCGCTCTCAGCATAGAAGGAGTAAAGTTGTCATTTGGAAGGTGTGACAGACGAGAGAATGTGTGAGGAGCACATTGACTGGGTCCAACATGGAGGAATCTTCTGGTTTTTTTTTTCGGAGTTGTTTTGATTTTCTTGATTTTTCGTCTCTGTTTAATCAGCTGCACTTTTGGTAGCGATTCACGAGGTTGGAACGAGTTAGGCTGTAGGAAAGATTACAGGGAGCCCTGCCGGCTCCGCCTGTCCTTGACCCAATGTGGAAAACATAGCTTTAGCTTAGGACAAAACAAACAAACAAATATGCCATTAAGCCCCATACATGCTTGCCTTAGGGGAGTCGGAACCTTCAGACCGAAATATCCAGACCTGAATCCAGAAATCTATTATCTAGACCGTGACAGTTAATACCTCAACTTATTTTACTAACATGGTATAGGCTATATCGTTATCAGTCAATCGGCAACACCTTAAATAATTTTATGGATCAAGCAATTGGCGGTAATCAACTATCCACAATCATAGTCTTCAGAAAAGAGGAATCTTGGGTTATATGGGTTTATTACAGAGCTCCACCAGCTAATTTGACGATCCACATAGCAAGGCGCACTTTTAACTTAACCTTACGTTCCACTTTCTTAAACTCTTCTGAACCAATCTCTCCAGCATGTTCGCTTAGGTTATCTCGCTCTTTCCCCAATCGCGCCATTAGGTCCTTGTTACTTGTGACAATTACTACCCCTGCCTCGAGGTCAAGGCAGTAACTTCGTTGTGTAAAGTTACTGCTTCCAATCACACTTATGTTAACATCTAATCTGCCCTGCTCTGTCTTGGGTGAAAGAGAGATCCAAAGGCCTTTGGCGTGATATGTCCATCCATCTGGTTGTCCTGCTGTTCCACGTCGCCATTCCTTTAGAGATATATCGTCTTTTCTTCTTTTTCGAATGATTTCTTTCAAGAAGCGTGATAAAAGTAACGTGTAGGCAGGCGGCAGTAGCCCAGAAATACCCTTGGAACCATAGAATCCATTTGCCCAGGGAGAAGCAGTAATAATGTTATTATTTGTCGAAGCCGTAGCAAGGAGTAAGCTGGTTAATTTTGGAATTGGATTGAAATATCCAGCTGTGAAGGTCCACGAGGATGTCTTGAATTGAGGAGTTGAAAGTTTGGAAAGAAGTGATGAAATAGCTGATAATTCGGTCGAAGCATCCGCGCAGGAGGGAAATAGCGACGTAAGTTGGGATAGAGGATATACGATGGTGTCAGATTCATGTTTTGGAGCTCTTAGTACCTCTGAGGGTCGGATAATTGGTAGAAGTAGATTGGAGGCTCTATTAACAAATTCAGTGGGAGAAGAAAGTGGTGACGGTACAGTGTTCGATACTGGCCATTCAAGCGAGTATCCCGCGGCTAGCTCCGAATCTGGTTTAACTAAATAACTGAGGCTCGAGATAATCATGTGAAGTCGATAAAAGTGATTAGCGATCTCTTCAGAATAGAATATGTGGTATCGATCTTGCCGGTTTGTGAAGTAGTCATGGGAAAGATTAGCACTGTCAATATCAGACTTAGCCTGCGGATGATTCTAGCCATCTCACCCGGAAATTATTATTTCGTTGTCAAATCCATAGAGCTTCATATGCTGAAGTCCCCAGCCCTCGTTAATTCGCTTTGGAAGATATCGTTTCTTTATTCCCACTAAGTTAGGAGTGTGGTACATTCGTAATTCTACTCTTAAATGGCCAAACTCGAGTGCCAACGGTGCGATTAGACTTGCGCATGATATAGCCGGTGACTCTCTCGTTCCTCGTAATGCGTCGGTAAGAATACTCACTTTCAGATCTGGCTTTCTTCGTAATACATTCTGAAGTAACGAAATCTACATCCTGTCAATCACTGTGGAGCCAGCGGATATACGAATAATTACTAGTTCTTTTTCAGATGCCCCTATATATAAGGTTGTCAAGAAGATACGCTTCTCCGCACCAAGAATCTTAGCCTATTTCAATTAGCAGTGTCAAAACATCTACTTTAGCTTGCCAAACCTTTAGATTGCTGTAAAACTCAGTTGGAGTGGACAAAATCTCTATCTGTGAACTATCTATCCTAAAACTCGGACATATGAGATCTAGGTCATTTGTGAAAGATCTGAGATTAGTATTTATCGGTGTTGGTGTTTGAATAGGCGCTCCTGCGTTGAAGTTCCGTGAATTTCCAGGATGAGAGTGCTGCTGGAATCGATCCAAAATTGACAGGAGTCTGCATGTTTTATTTCGGCTGCGTGATACGATATTACTTTGAATTATCATGGTCGTCTCTTTTCACGGCGTGTATTAAGCTTTTTGGTAAAAACCTAGACATCATTATCGGAACTAGCGCTGAATCAGCCATTAATTCCATAGTCAGATACAAAATATAATACTGATTCAGAACACATTAATCAACCATTTCACAGCTGGAGCAAAATGTCGACCTTGACACGCACCTTTAAAAATCTGTGGAGGGTTGGACTACGCGTACGTATTGTAGCTAATGCTAGCCTGAAATGAGGCTGACTCTTAGTATCAGGATGCCGCTCACCAGATGCATGTATGTTAATCTGCCTCTTAATTCTCAACCTGGCTGAATAACAATACTTTTCTACAGAATATTGGTATGTGTGCAGTCAGACATCAAGTTTCTAATCTTAACTCAACAACTGCACAGGTGACACTAAAGCTGGTACTTTAATTGCAACAGATCGATATGGTAACAAATACTTTGAGAACTTGAAAGAAGAATTACCATGTAAGTATTTACTAATTACTTCTGTATATGTGGCAAACTAAATCAGGCACAAAGTGAGAACACGATGGATTGACTACAAAGACCATGAATTCGACCCGTAAGAATCCGCATTTCGACCCTCAGCACGAAGTTTCATCAAGAAATCTATCTGATGTTAAGCTCTAGATCACACATCGAACCTGGCTGGCACGCTTGGGTTTCCTATATGGTTGACAAGCCTCCGACACAAGATGTTCTTCTCCAGTCGAAGAAAAATCTCTGGGAATTACCAGGACACAAACCACACCCAACAGCGACTAGAGGTGCGTTTAAAACATATTCAACGTAAGCAAAAGCTATTCCATTACAAAAGCCTCATGTGTGTAACTAATCTAAATCAAGTGTCAAACCCAAGATTACGACCTGGAATGCTGTGGCAGCACCGCGCGGTTGAGAGTCTGACAAAGGACCTTGAGATTCCCTTGATCTTTGAATATCAGGCAAAGAATTCATATATGACCCCTTCAGGGCATAAATTTCAAATTGTTAGCTTAATTGTTAGTGACAGATCGATAATCTGTGTAGCACTTTTTTGTACGTGACATGCACACCTCTAGCTCATTCTCGATTCATGTGAAAAAACCACTTGAATAGTCTCACATTTACTATCTAACGCAAACGTAAAGTCGACCACCCACCGGAATTTTTACCCTGATTCTCGAGAAAGATTGGTCTGAAAATGCAATCTACATAGTCAGCGACATTCGGTTTGGTTTCAGAGAGAAGATAACTGGATTCCTGTCAAATATCCATCCAACTTTCATTGTTTGGTCTGTTGGTGTATGGAATCCACAGCAAAGCACATATAGAACCCTCAAGAACTTTAAAAATCTCTGCCTCCACGGTATGTAAAATGGTGTAAACGTTAGTTATCACCGTTCACCCTCGTAGATTGGGGCATAGATGCAGCTAAACTCATGAAACCCTCGAGAATAAGTAACAAATTACTGCAGGAACATTTCTTATCAAATTAATGAAAAGCTCTAATTCTCATACCGCGGCGCATATAATTTACAAAAGCATACATAAAAAAGTAGTTTTAGTCATTAATAGAACTAGAAGTGCTGCAACACAATCCTCTTGGCTTCTGATAAAGGTAGCGATATGTCCAGCTTAAACGTTGTAGGGCCCGAAGCTTCTAGAAGATTCAGGCTTTACATTCGACCCCTCTATTCCCCTCTTGCCCCAACACAGCGGTTATGTAATTGTGTATAAGTTTACTGCATTGCACGTCAGTTATTTCAATACAGACCACCGATTTGCTAAACAAATCAATCAGCAAAGAGTTTAAAGAAGACTTTTCTCACACTCAACTCTTAACTTTCCACTCAATAGAAAGATATAAAAACATACGATAAACAAGGACTGCCATTAAAAAGGACTTAAAATACTTAGAATCTAGGTTAGTGTTAAGGGAACAACTAATCAACAACAAATTACAAGCAAATATTCGGAGACATGGTTGCAGAAACAAAACTTTACAACTACCTAGGTATACAGCCCGAGGCTACCCAAGATGAAATAAAGAAAGCTTACAGGTAATAAAATTCTGCGTATAAAATTTAGACAACTTATCTAAAAAACTATTAGAAAGATGGCCCTCAAGCATCATCCTGACAAAAACAAAGACAATTCAAGCTCTGCGGATAAGTTCAAAGAGGTTTCACAAGCCTATGAGATACTCTCTGATCCCGAGAAACGTTCCATATACGACCAATACGGATTAGACTTCCTCCTTCGTGGCGGACCTGCGCCTCAAGAAGCATCTGCTGGCGCAAACCCCTTTTCTGGATCTAGTGGACCAAGTAACGCTGAAGGTATTCCAAGCGGGTTTGGGTTTTTTGGTGTTCCAACCGGCGGTGACGTTCCAGACTTCCGAACTGGATTCAGCTCTGGCGGCTTTTCCTTCTCTAACCCTAACACAATATTCAATGACTTTTTTCGAGCACAAAGAGGAATGGATATCTCAGCAGGCTTAAATGACGACTTATTTAGTTCCACTGGGCGTATATCTTCTCAATCCAATCAATCTAACGGATTTAGCGCCGGACAACCAAGTATTCGTCGTGCTACAACAACTGAAGTATCGACTGTCGAGAGACCCCTAGCCCTGACCCTGGAAGAGCTTTACAACGGTACCCACAAAAAAATGAAAATCAAGCGAAAGGCTTTTGATGAGTTTACGGGTAAAAGAACTACTCAGGATAAAGTCTTGGAGATGGACATTAAGCCAGGACTTAAAAAGGGGTCAAAAATCAAATTTAAGGGCGTTGGAGATCAAGAAGAAGGAGGCCAACAAGATCTACATTTTGTTGTTGAAGAGGTAAGCCTATCCGACATGAAGGTTAATTCAAAGCTGATTTTGTCACAGAAAAAGCACCCCCTCTTTACTCGTGAGGGCGATGATGTTCATTACACCATTGAGCTGGACCTTAAAGAAGCTTTGACAGGCTGGAAGCGTACCGTAGCTACCATTGACGGTAGGCAAATCAATATTGAAAAGTCTGGTCCGACACAACCGGGAAGCAAAGATGAATATCCTGGTCAAGGCATGCCAGTGAGCAAGAAACCAGGAACTAGGGGTGCATTTGTGGTCACTTATCAAGTAAACTTTCCAACTACCTTGACACCGGAACAGAAGAGAAAGTTAAGGGAAATTCTTTAAAAAATGACACGTATTTGATGAATATCGAAATTACCATGACAACTTTCATGGCGTTCTTATCACTGGGTAATTATCCGAAAAATTTGCTATACATAACGAGGAGCATAGTTGGACGGAAATATGTTTTTATGGCGTTGTAGCGATCCATTCAATGAGGTTGATAACTTGGACTAAAATTTAAGCTTAACATGGGCTGGAAATAAAGTCAGGAGGCTAAATACAACATTTCATACTTGATGATAGTCAGCGAGGACTTTATCTTCTATGAAGGTTTTGAAACGGGACTTTTGTCTGTTTGTACAGATTAAAGGAGATACTATCGCGTGGGTTTTGTTCTAGATATAAGTAATTCAAAGGATATAAGTGAACCGAGAGTAGTTAAAGTAATTGATTGCCATGAAGTCTTGTAACCCTATTTAACAATCAAAGCTCATAATAAAATCAAAAGTAATTGGTATCGATCCTCAAATGATAGGTACTGCGTTTTAACAGGCAATTGATGTGCACATAGGGCCAGGTGGCTGATAATCTTAAGTTGTTTCATATCGGTTCCAAATCAAAATTAGAACGACCTGTGTAACTTATGAATGTTTATATTTGTTGTCCTACTGGCCATTTGCGAGTGTGAAGCTGCAGGGAAAGGTCTCAAAAACCACTGGGTGCGAGGCTCTCCTATGACGAAGAGGCCGGCCAGCCGGGCGCAGCAGACCTGTGTATACCTATGAATGTCTCTCAACCTTCCTAGCCTCCTCCTTGCTCCTCCCATGATTCATGCCGCAGGATAAATCGAAGGTCGCGAAAGGATGTCAGAAAAGTCTCGGTGGAGAGTGACTGACATGAAGGAGCCTTGCCTCGCATGCGAAAGTCGTTACGGACGTGGGGTCGTCGGGTAACTCATGTATTTCAGATGCCCTCCTGGCTAGTAGATTCGGAAGTTAAGATTAATAGGGACGATGTTTTTGACGAGTGAAAATCTGCTTTTCTTGAGGGCGGAAAAGTCTTATATTTTGCTTTCGTGGGCTTTTTGTTCGACTGCCGGTGGGTGGCACATATTGTGACATAACGAGGGCTTCTCTTACTACCGTTGTAGCGGTTGGTACAGTAATATGTTTCTTCATTCCCAGCATCATTATCGTCGTCTTGGTCATTTTGTGTGTTATCGTAATGTTGGAAATTCAGACTCTATGTGCCTGAAGTTTCCCTATGACCGGAACGACTAATATTCTCACATATGACTCACGACCTAGATGATTGATATCCCCTTTACTGAGCATGTTTGATACCTGTGTAAACTTTCATCCACCGACCCTGATCCCATAGTCATGTTGTAGACTGTCGTGCGATTCATTGTCATTGTTAGAGTATGGAACGAATGATGCATGGTATCTAATTTAGATTTGGTCTATCAAGTATACATGTATATAAGCTATCTAGGAATCACTAAGACGGAGAATCAAATTATTCAATCCGTTTTTTTCTTTTTCTTTTAATTTCTCTACAGTATATCACAAATCTCCCGATTCATATCATTATTGTTCTATTCATAAATCGCACTTATATTCTTTGAGCCACCTTACTCATCGAACCCATATCGATTTTCCACCAGAAAACCACAGATTGTGGTGTATGTATATAAAGGAGGGATCCTCTAAACCTGAATGAAAGCAATCAAGTCTGCTACTTCACTATAACCTACCTCTATCTACAAGTCTCGGTTTATTGTTAATTCATTTTATTGTCCTGTCTGAGTCTATGACTATGTAGGACATGCAGGTCCTCTCTGCCTACAGGCCAAGGATACCTATACCAGTAGTACATCCCCTCCTATGCCTCCCATACAGCTCCCCTCATACAGTATCACTCCTCACAAGACCTCATTCGATCATACACTTAGAGGAGCCCTTAACCCTTCATTATCTCCCCTCTCCAGCCAACGAAACGATGGTCATTTGCGGGTGTATGGCAGCCGGGAAAAATCGCAAAAAACCACCGGGTGCGGAGCTCTCCTAATACCGACATTAGGAATAAATCCGAAGACATATTGCCCCTTCTGAAGCGTTCGAAGAGGCTGGCCAGCTGGGCGCTGCAGACTTGTGGGTACCTCGGGAAATTCACCCTCTGCCTTTATAGCCTCCTTCCAACTCCTTCCCGAAGGTCGTGCTGAAATGTCAGAAAAGTCTTGATAGAGCGTGATTGCTGTATAGTAGCTTAGCCTAGCTTCTTTTGTGCCGTCCATGGCGCTGGGGAATATCGTTGACTCGTCGACAAAAGAAGCCCTCCTGGCTAATTAGCCGAAATCTTAGTCTTGGCGCCCACAAAAAATCCAAAGTTGAAAACTCCTCGAAAATGTCAGTCCCAGCATGGTCTTCAGAGACCTCTTACCCCTCTCACTCCACATATCAGCCGCCTGTCCTTCCTCAACATGTGAAGCCCCATTAGAGCAGCAGTCCCCCATAAACCAAGACCCCAACTTTGTATATTTCTACTTGATTTCCTCCTTGCGGGTATACGTAGCGTCGTAAATTTGTAGTGAGTGATGGTCGGTGATGATTGAGGCAAGCTCCTGTTTGCAATTGGGGTGACGCCTTTATCGGTCGTCGAGTCGAGATGATGTGTGGTTAGATCGGGGTTGAGGACTCAGAAGATAATGGTGAGTGCTGCATGATTGAGAAGAAGTCAAATGGAGATATGCAAGTGTCTGCTTTCGACTTCGATTCGGAAGCGATTCTTCTTGGCTATCCCAGATATGCAGAGCATACTGAGCGATTACACCGGCAGCACTGGAAGGTGAAGAATTCATCTTTGCCGGCTACAAGTCTCAGTGAACGTGCAGTTATTTACAGGTAACTATTCCACTTCCCATAACCTTGCATTTATAACAGAAAGCGCCACATCTAGTGTTTTTTGAGGATTTTCTCTGCAGCTACACACTAACAAATTGCCATCGTTTTGTTGGCTGTAGAGGAGAGATGATGACGAGATAATGTCTATTCCTATTTTGTAGTTAAATGAAAACTTGTGGGAGTACTACTATTGGAAAACAGTTGTGAAGGAGTCATAGGAGGGGGTGCACTACCAGAGGCATTGACACTCCCGACCTCCAGGCAGAACGGACCTACATGTTCTTCCATGGTCATACCCTAGCTAGGAAAATTAACACTCACATCCACAATTAAACTATTGAATCATGTCCTTAGCTAAGTTCTAGTAACTATTTGAAAAAGCGCTCTAATACGTCACGAAATGAGTCATAATCTGAATAATCGCACGAAGTTACCAGAGTCTATTTTGATTATCTAAATCAATTATATCCATAAGATGTCTCTGCGGAGGGCAAGACTGAACACTCCTGTACGCGGTGTCCTCTACTAACCTTGGAGTGAAATGTTCTCCCAGAGCCAAGTTCAGTCAAATTTCGCAATATCACAGAAGTTGGCCCACGCGGCAAAAATTCAAATTACTCCACCATGTCAATCTTTCACTCCTAAAGAGTCCTATTCTCAACTAGGCTTCATCAAGTCTACAAGTACGACCTAGTACATCCTCATTCCAATGATCACACCTCTCGTTGACTTTCTCTGGCCTCAGTTGACCACCAAATACACGCCCACGCCGATATTTATACCCAACGGAGGAAGCAAAGCGTTGTGCACAAATCTAGGAGATAGCCCTTTGGGATGGACGTGAGTGGGATCAGGACAAGTTTACAAGATGATGCAGAAGAGGGATACGTTTTCGACGGGCGTGAAATTTCGAATTTTGGCAATAGTTTTACGAATTGAGCTTTGTGCGCGCCAAGACTTCGCTTGCGAGAGTGCAGCTGACACTATAAAAACAAGCAGACGATGGAAGGTGTTGTGATCCGCCTCCTGATGGTGTTCTCCGGTATAGTTTGAGTAGCCTGGGCATCTACTCCACTTGGGAAGGAGACATCTCAGATTACATTTCGCGCGGAGAAAAGTTGATGGAAGACGGAAGCATGTCTAGATAACTCAGGGTTTTTGAGATGTTCCCCTGGGTGGGTATTCACGGATGAGGGTTGACCTGGGGTGAAGAAAAAGCCACCATAACTTCGCAGTGGTACCCCAAATGTTTACTCCTCTGTCGCCCCGATCCCTACTCAGCTGAAGTTTGGAAGATTCCTTTCATCATTCTTCTCTCCTCTTTTCGATGACGGAATTGTTGGAACTGCCGGTGTCATAGCCCTTAATGTATTTAGTACTGCCGTTGAGTCTGCGATCACCTTTAGTTGACGTACTGGTCTCCTCTTCTGGGGTTCAACCTTACAATTAGTGACCAGTGTAAATCCTTGATCGTCAGTGGTCGCAGATGCTGTTTGCGATACAATTATGGGACTGGTTTCCCTTCGAATTTCCGCCGTGCGTTCCAGAAGCTCGAAGCGGGCTTTCTGATCACTCTCCTTGTAGGCTTGAAATGTCCGACATGTCACTCTCTGCTACAAACGATGTTCCTTGTTACAGTTGACGCAAGAAACTCTTTTCCTAGGACAGTCGGGGGTTTGGTGAGCACCTGCGCACTCACCACACCTAGCTTCATTTCCGCATGACGCCTGCGTGTGTCCCCATTGACTGCAGTTGTAACACTGCTTTGGTTGAGCCCTCGGAGACCACACCTACACTGAATATAGTATGGAATTAAGGACAATACCATGCCGAACAACTTGTTTTTACAAGACCTCCATGGGAAGACTCAAAACAATTGAGCCCCTTGTGCGGGCATTTGTCTTGGCCCGCTCGGTCTCCTTTCCGTCGTGCATCCATCTTATTCTATTGATCTTTAGACCTGGAATTCGTATTGCTGTAGACGATTCTATCTCCCGTATCAATGTTATGTTGTTGGCATATTTACCTCATTCAATTTTCGTGCTCAACGGGACTCCGTAAACCTCTACTGGAAAATCTTGCCTTAGGACCTGAAAGTCCTCTTGTTGTGCCATATTGAGAGCCACGTCTCTCTGGGTCGCCGACTGAACAAACACCTCGGTGTCATTGCTCCGCATCTGTCGCACTGCGTATGCCCCTGGTATATGTTTTTGTGCCCTTGTTAGCAGCTGTGCTAGCGGCATGTCTTTTGCACCCTCGACGCGTGTTCTAACCGCTGTTTTGGCCATGAAGAGCTCAACCAAAACATCTCTTCAACTGCAGTCAGTGGGGACACGCAGGCTTCGTATAGAAAGATAGCCAGGACGTTCGTGTAATGACATCGTTGCCTAGCGGCACCAATAATACTCTCGACAGTAGCGCCACTATCGGGACCGTCTTTTCAAACACTTTGACGATCCACGACGAATGAGGAGGTGCATTCTCTTTTATATATCTCCAAGCTTTGGTCCCATCGAAGGGAGAGTTAATGAAATTCCGGCTTGAAGAAATTTCTTTGGCATTACACTGGGTCGGTTGAAAGTGGTAGGACATCAGGATATTGTTCAAAGCTTTTTGTCTAACCAAAAAGACTTACCGTCTACATAGTTCTATAAATAGATACAGAATACGAGATTAAATGAGAAAATTTGACCCCAAACCGATAAAGGTGTTCAGGCCATCCAAACTACTTGACAGTAAATCCCAGACGGTAATTCACTGCACAATATAGTTCTTGGTTTATGTTGTAATCAAGTTGATAGCTAAATTTGTTTGCCCATGAACAGCACGGTTAATTACAACTTCATCTGGCTGGCGAGAGTTTGTGAAGAGACTGATCACACTAGCTATTCGCAAAAGCGTGTCGCAAATTATGTTATATTCTGTGTAAAGAAATAACTAGGAAGACTATATGCTTATCTTCTCAATATCGCGCGTCGCATATTGACCCATGCATAAGTTATCCTTTACACAACTCCTTAATCCAGCCAAGCCGCGTACTCGAAGACATCTCGATAAATGAGCTGGATAGACTTCGGTTATAATTAAATAACACATTAGCCTATAACAGGGTTACAGAGATTGCAATCATTTATGGTTGGGACTTTGAAACTTAATTATCCAATTTCAGAAATAATTCTGGTGATTCACGGCCCGCATCGAAGAAAATAAAAGTCTACGTGATAGGTTGATTGAATTTTTAGCACTGAATAGTTTTGATTTGTGATGAAATTTATATATGTATATATGACATTAAGACGTATTCAGAAATGCCATTTATATGAGGAATGACTTGGCGTTGATTTCGCACGGCCGAGGACTATTGCTCTTGTACCAATATTATCAGGTTGCTGAGCAGTCACATACTAGCTAGCTGGAGGTCGTGACCTATGTCCTAGTTATTATTCTATGTCCAATATGTTACGCTCATTATGCAGGCACTCGTCTTGTGCCTAACATCCAGGAGCTTTGCCGCTGTATATCTCGGAATCTAAGTCCATTTCGTCCACGGTCTCTCCTTGGTGACAGTCCCAAGCACGATTTGAATATTGTTTCATTTCTTGTATTGAATTCCCGCCATCATCACGTTGAATCAAACGCGAAGGGTCTACGCCAAAGATAATTTTCTCTTTATCTTCCTCTTTATCAGAATTATTGTTAGACGCCATGAATTTGTCCTCAAAGTTTCGAGGTGATGCTTCAATGCTCATCATACACTCATCACTACTACTCTTTCCACACCCGTCATAATCACCATAACCAAACTTTCTTTTCCCCGGGCTATTGGGAGATATCCCCGATGTTTGATCTAGATCATGAAATCCACCCGTTTTAAGTTTTTCGGTTTTCGATTGAGGTATATTTCCATTTATTTCGTTGTTGAATAGAACATTATCCCAATTAACAAAGGTTTCTAGGGGTTTTGGAAGTGGATCTTTTGGTGTACTTAGAGCTTTTTCTGATGCGTATACTAGGAGCATATTTTTACTTTTTTGGTTAGCAGCAGCAAGAACATGGCCTTCGGTTGTTCGCTAGATGTAGCTGTTAGCTCAAAAAAGTTATTGACTGATTTAAAATCGTAACCTATACCTCTATGGTGAATTCAGGTGAGAAATCCTGTAAATATTCTATACGCCACCACTGATCTACGACAGAGCGGGAGCAATTAGAAACTGATACAAGTTGCTCGTTAGCTTTTTCAGTGCGCTGACATATATACAAAATGCTCTTCAGGGTGCAAACACCGCGGAGGAAGTAAGGTTTTAGTTGAGGCGCTGCAGAAGATGGAGATTGAGTTTTATGTAAAGATGAGAGTTGACGAAGCTGAGTGTATAATATTTTTCTTTTCATATTCAAGTCTTCACTGAAAAGTTAATTTGGGAAGAGTTTATGATTTTGGAAGACATACCATAAAGTTTTCTATCAACGCTATCCATAATTTTTTGCAGCTCAGGTCCTAGGTTTGTAGCAGCCAAGCTTTCAGTACTGATTGGCAATTTAGCACCTTGATCTTGAACAATATCATCAAGCGCGTCATCTTGATGTCGAAGGGCAGTTTCAAACATGCTCTTGACTGTGAGTGCTTTTCTATCCCTTACAGTAATGTTGGTGAGACAATCTTCTAAATTGTTAATTAGTTCTATCTGTTCTTGAATGCGCTTCTTCTTCTTTCGCATTTCTAGCGAAGCTTCTCGAGACGATTTCAGATATCGGTCGGGATACCACGTAGCTGGAATCGCAACCTTACTTTGTTCTTTCATGAGATCAATTTTAAAGGTTACAACTTCAGCGACGTGAGAAAGATAAGGGCTTGCGGCAAGATCCAAAGGACATAGTTCTGGCCAGAGATACTCATCACAGATATCGTACAAATTCTCGTAGAAAGTATAGTAAGGAGCGGTAAGCTCTAAGATACCAAATTTCCTTTCATCTTGTTCCATTTCTTCAGAAGGAACCCCAACACAGTAGATCTGCTTAACCATATCCGGATCCTTCTCTTGAAATATCTGTCTCCAAGCCTCGAGAGCCGCGTTGTCTTTATCATTCCCGCCGTAGGCTCGAGAATGTGCCCTAACGTTGGGAAGATTAGCAAGTGCTTCAATAGAACCATAACTACGTTCCGTTTTATCAAGGAATGCCATCAACCTCTGTAATTCTCGTCCAACATTAGAGCAAATCACCTCATCAAAATCAACTCCAGCTTCAGCCACCTCTATTGGCTTACCCATCCACCATTGTTTATCATTCCCATAAGAGTGTAAAACATCCTTAGAGTTAAGAAGAATATTTCTGATGAGAGGTATTTCATGATATATTGTGACAAGGGCTCCTAGATAGTGATTTTCATTGCCGGGTTTTAAAAAAGCAGGAATACCAGGCTCTCGCTTTCGATTCACAAGTTCTGTATCGTAAATGAAATCTCTGCTTGAAATATTTTCTATGGGCACCATTGACCATTGGCTAGAGTCATAGAGCTCTCTCGTGGCTGGACCAAAGTGGACGGCGCTTGTATTAGGAGCTTCTACCACTTGAGGCGATAATCCTGCTTCTTGAGCTGAAAGTGAAAGTGCCTTTGCTAGGTCTGTATCTTGATCATTGATGTTTGATTGGTCTTCTATTTTAAAACTCAGTTTATTAGCTTTTTACTAATAACATAATTTGATCAGAATATCATGTTTGCAACTCGATCATTTGCTCTGCAATAAAGATGATAGATAGTCTCACCAAGAGGTGGTAAATTGTTAGCACGAGATGGTGGACGCGATGGTGCTCCGCCGAAACGGCTATTTGTCCCGGAAATATTAGGTCTTTGTAAATTAAAAGCTTCGTAAGGTCAGGAAGCACACATCGAACCGAACGAATCAACTGACAAATTCCATGATTTTCCGGGGAGTTTACAAGTTCGCTGTCGAGAGAATCTTCGTCCCATGTATACTAGTTATATACTCTCAGCCTTCCAGGGAATGGTTTAGTAGACGTCTTTTCTTTCACCTTATTGGAACTAGGGTTATCATAATAATCATTAATGGCTTGTTCAACGCTATTATTATTGCCCTATCGAAAATAAGTAATTACTCAGTGAAGCAAAAAAATTTACTCTAATTCTCTGTATTGCCTCGTTCCGTGATAACCCCGGGGCCATTTCTACAAATAATTTAATTTGTTCCTCGGTTGTTTGAAGAGCCATGGTTTGATAGGAAAAACAGAGCGATTCGTATTCAATGACCGCCCGGTAGTAATGTATTTTCAGCGTCTCAGATGAAAAATCAGCTTGATGCTGGTCACAGAATAAATGACTAAATTACAAGGTAATCTAGAAGGCGAGGCTGTGCAATATAGACATCAGACTAACGGTCCACTGGATCCGAAATTTCGCGTATTTGCAAATACTTGGCATGGTTTTTTTAAACTCGCCTTCAAGAGGCAGAGTTAAATAATTGACCAGATTGGCAAGGATCTTTCCGGTCTAGTTTACCTAACTATAGTGCTACGAAAAGGATACAATCCATCTATACGGGTTGAATCTCTGCTGGTATTATCTAGCATCCAACGTATCATTTATTATGTGATGATAAGAGGAGACCTTATTTTTGCGAGTATTATAGTTGCAGGTTCAAGATAAGATGCAATGCAGAGATGGATGTATGGGCGTAGTAGCATCAACAATAATCTGAATTCAATTCCTTCCTGTGCGCCTCGATCTAACTTTTCCATCAAAAACAATACAGACCTAAAGCCGAATTATACTAGTATTCGATGATAAGCATACTCAACGCCCATTTGACCTGTGAATGACGCCCGTAAGTTTAATGTTTGGCGGTCGCCTCCCTGCCTGACTTAAAAAACCCAGATGGCCTCGATGGAGGAGCAGTAAATACTCGATGTCAACGAAAGCCAATCTACAGGTTTTGAGTCCATAATTTCACCATCTCTTCAAATCTATTACTCGTGATCATCTTCTTCATCATCTATTTCATCGTCAAAATTATCTTCTTCCGAGCTATCGCTTGCGCCAAAATCATCCTGTTCTTCACCTTCATTCCAAAAATCGTCATCATCAATAATAGGAGGTGGTGGTGTCTCATTTAATGTCTTTGGCATAATAAATCCTTCGGGTATATCTTTCTTAGATATTTTTACTGTTTCTGCAGCCTTTTTCCAGTAAGCAACCTTGTTGTCCCGATACATAACACCGGCATCAACATTAGCTGAGGAAGTTATCTCCGGATCGTCAAGGAGTAGAAGAATGGAGCGGAGAACGCTCTCTACGCTCTGTACAGAAGACCAACGTTCACAGGCCAGCTCCCCTGATTGCTCATCTTCGCCAGCAGCGTGTAATATTGAGATGCAGACTTTGCCATCAGGATAGATATTTGGATGATGAATGGGCCGTAGAAACCTAAACGTTGGTGGGAAATAAGGATACTTATCAGTGAAGCTCATCTCCGCCTTTGGGTTAGGTTTGTGTAAGTAGTATTTCCGAATATAAGACGTTAGTGGATTACCTTCAAGTATGCACCGTCGAACGCACTCTCAGAATTGATAACAATCAGTCCGATAGTCCATTTGAAAAGACTTTCTTCATTAAGCTATCAATAAATTCAGTCTGAGTGCGTGAAATTGGATTTGCAGCTTCAGTTTACCTCGATTTTGACCCATTTCTCCTTGGAAAATCCTTTGTATTCATTCATGAGACGTTGTTTTGCAGCCGCTGCCATGTTTAGGACATAAACCTAGATTTTTAAACTCCAGCGGTTTGTTCTGATTTGAAGTCTACCGTAAGCAGCTATAGGAACGGCATACACGATGACAATATCCAGATGGGGAATTAGGTTGAATACTGCACATCCAGCTAAGTATAAACATCTGACGCCGTGTGCCAGCCCACCTCGGCTCTTGGGCCCACAGCAGACTTGGCCTATCACTGATTGACCTAACACTTTACGCCAAGCAGGCCAACAGGTACATCCCAGCTTCGGACTTTCTAGAGAGCGTCTGTAGAGCATGGAGAAGCCCGAGGTTACCACACCAGTGGATCCTGAAAAGATCTACATAGTCACGGGCTGTTCAGATTTTGGATCTAGGGCACATAGACAAACTGCTAATGCCTTATGATCCGACACAATCAGATCGCACAATCGCAAGAGCAGATTTCACTGGAGCTGAGAGGCAATTGAGTAGGTGTATATAGGCTCTTAGATATCCTACATTTAGACACAAAATTCACGTGTTGGTCTCAAGCTCTACACAAGATCTGTTATTGTTAGGAGCCACGTGATATCATTCCATTCCTAAACCCACACTCATCCTTTACTAAGTACACAATGTACGCTCGGAAACCTCACACCTGTCATTTAATCTACTAATATCGGTCTAGTCTATTCATGATGTCCGAAAATCGTAGGGGCTTTGATGTGGCCAAGTAAATCAGCTGCTTAGCACTGATTCAGCCGACAAAGATGATTTCTTGACCTTCCATTGCCACCCGTGCATACGCTTAGTATTCTCTGCATATCTGGGATATCTAAGAAGAATCGCATCCGAATTGAAGTCGAAAGCAACCTCAAGCACATCTAAAATCGAAGACTTCTCGAAAAATGTTGGATCTATCATTCTCACGCAAGTCCTCCACCTCAATCTTACTAAACTACCTCGCCTTAATTTCTGATAAAAGCTTTACTCCAATTGCAATGGAGAATTTGCCTCATCGAAAATCGGCCATCTCCCACTATAAAGTCACAATGCTATGTATACCCGCGAGGAGAAAATTAAGTCATAATCGGCAAAGCTCGGGTCTTAGTCTATGAAACACCGTTGCTCTAGCGGGCCTTCTCACCTTGAGGGAGGACAGACAGCTGGGACGTGGGACGAGCGAGTGAAGAGGGCGCAAATGGGCATTCTAGGACGCACATTTTTCGAATGTTTTCGACTTGAGGGTGTCTGGGCGCAAAGGCAACGATGTCGGATAGTGCAACCGACACTCTAAAAATGGGCAACTATAGAAGGTGCTTTGGTCCGACTCCTGGTCGTCATCTCCCCGAATTAAAGTCTGGGCAGCCCGAACACCTATCTTACTCGAGGAAGGGAGGACTGTGAGGGCATATTTCGCGCGGTGGCTATTCAAAAGATGGCAAGGACACGCTAGGGTAGCCAGAGGTGTGTCCTGTTTTCCCTTTAGTAGATATTAACGGTTGAGGGAAGGTTGAAGTCCCTAGCATAAAGGTCTCGACTGGTATCAGCGAATGCATCAACTTCATGAGTAGTCCAAGTGTCGAACTGAGTTATCGTCGTATATAGACGTCGTGGGTGGAATAGCCTTCTCCATGTCATGCTCTATGAATGCTAGGCTTGTACCTGTCACGAATAGTCATCCATTTATTTATAATAACTGATTCAATGGCAAAACTGACATATGAATCAATCACTTTGGATGACTAGCTTAAGATAGGTTGGTTACCTTCTCATGACCAGACGCTTAGCATGACGTGGTAATACAGACCAAATTGTCCACGTGTGCAAGGCAACCTTCAATCACACTCTAGAGGAGCCTCATCATGCATAAGAACCGAAGTACGTAAAGGATGAGACTAGAGCACAATATAATTAAAAAACGCGTCTGCCCCTCAATCATACCATCATTCAAATTCGAAATTTAAGACTCATCAACTCTGTGTTCACAATGCCATTATAGACTATCACTTCACCTTTAAGAGGTGACGGTATAAAGCTTAACATGTTCATTTTCTGAGAGAGCAAGGATTGACCGCTTCCGAATTGAAGTCGAAAGGAAACACAAGCATGCCTACACTCGAAGACGTCTCAGTTAAACCAGTCCTAGTATTCTCAAACAATTGAATAAGTGTATGATGTGTTTATTGTGCTACTTGTGTCACAAACTTTCCAGCATATTGGGCTCCTCTCTGAATCAGGCCGCACCTTGCAAAGTGCTCCTATTCTGAAACAATTTCTCTTATTCAACAGTACTTCAGGGAGCTGCAACATTTAAGAACATGGGTATGCTTCATCAACAACCGTTATTCCCCTACTTTATAATCACGAAACTCCGTATACCCACGAGGAAGAAATTAAATCGTAATCAAACTCTGGTTTTGCCTAGAGTTGAACAAGCTCGAAGGGAGTTAGAGATTGAATTAAGGATTTCTGCTGCTCAGCAGGGGTGGAGAAAGCGGAGTCAGAAAGAAGAAGCGCTCCAGGTAGATGATGGTCTTCTACCTTCAAATAGTGATACATACGCCATAGGTGTTTGTACTATGAATGGTATGTGATATGGGAATGTAAACTCGCGCTGCGATAGCTAAGATGTCTCATGGAAAGGTATCTTGATATGTAGAAATGAGGCTACTATGATAATTATTTCATATTATATTGTGGGAAGCTCGTCCCGTATCCCCAAGCTAGTTCGCTTGTAGACCGATTACTTGACTAGTATGCTGTTGAGCAAAGTTATACTAATATGAATCTCTCTCAGAGTTTATTGAATTGATTGTTCTCTCCCATGAGGAATCTATCTAGGTACTATATACATCTTGAGTAACCTACTAATTCCAAATATAGACTGAATATTAGATTGCCAATACGAACTGCTCAAATCTCTGTTCCATTCATGGGTCTAAAATTGGCTGTTACATTATCATGGGCAATAGAAGGAGTAAAACAATAAGGGAGTTGTGCGTATGAAATTGGCCATCCGTCTAGTCGCTAATTGTAACATTTGCATGACTAAGTTATTGCCCTTGATGCATCAGCCCAGTTTACTTGCTTGTAAACTACTCAACTTAAACATCATGAGACAACATTTAAACTTAGGGTAATCTGTTTGACATGTGCAGTGCACCGAAGTGTGCCCGCGACTGAGAAAATATGCCATTCGCCCTATATCAATGATCTTGTTGTGAATATCGTGAGCATGACTTGTAAATGTCTATTTACGATGGATACAAGATCTATGACAGACACCTTGGTAGGGACGGCAAACCACCATGTTTGACGAGTTTGAGGCAGAGTCATATATGCTTGGGTGAAGCATCCGGGTCAGGAAGTCGCAGCCAAGGAGTATCATATATACTTAGCATTGTGTCATAGTTGTGAACCTAGGGTCTAGTGATACGTAGGCAACGGGAGATGAAAATTAGTCAATGAGTCTCAGTTTACGATCAAGTAGTACTGTCGTAGTCATGTAGGATAAAGGCTAGCACAAAAGTCTTGTATGTGATATAGCGATATCTTCATGTTCAGATAGAAGTGACTATAAACTAGCAATCAATCGATCATTACCAGAACCATTATTCATGTTATTCTAGTATCATCAATTACACGATAATATTCCCATAGATCTCTCTCTCGTAATGCACACGGTACTACTTGTATTGTTGTTATGCATGGATAGGATCTCCTCCATGCGCTTTACTGTTATACTGCCATTGTAACTACCTATGCTCCGGCTACTGCATAAACCATACTATAAAGCTTAGCATAACAGTATCGACTTTGTAATGTTTGTGAGCGCTAAGATAGTTGTTAAATGTGGTGCTATTGAGTATTTCAAAACAAGCCGCGTCGCGTTGCTTGTGAAGATATGGATGGAGAGAACGACTTCATTCATTTTTTTATTCGTGTAATGTGTATTAGCTAGCTAGCTATGACACATGATCAATGCTATGTATACATGTATACGTGTTGGATGATATTTTGATGTTAGAGGCACTCATACTGTGGATTTCATTTGTAAATGCCACTATGAGGTATGTTTGCTAACACAAACAGTCGACCCTCCTCTATAAGTACCCACCAAAGGGAAGTTCAAAACCTTTGGTTATCCAAGCATGCCTTCGTCGTTAATGTAAATAAGCGCCGTGAGAAAAGTGGTTGTGTTTTGCCGGATTCGAACCAGCGGTCTACTGTCTCGAGTTGGATACATGTCCAAGCTATCTAGACTCTACTTGGAAGATCGGCCAAGACGATGTGCCACCGCACCATCCAGCCATATCGGTGTTTGTAGTGTTGCTCGCAACCGAGGACTTGGCACGCACAAAGCTCAACTTATAAAACTCCTTGCTACAATCCCCAATTTCACACCCGTCGAGATTGGACCAGTCCTCTGCACAATCTTGTAAACTTGCCCTGATACCTCTGACATCAATCCCAAAGAAGTGTCTCCGTGATTTATGCGACACGCTTTGCCTCCTCCGTCAGGTATAAATTTCGGCGTGGGCGTGTATTTGGTGACGAGCTGAGGCCAGAGAGAGTCGAAGAGAGTTGTGGTCATTACTATTTCATTTTATTTTCCTGTCTGAGTCTATGACTATGCAGTACATGCAGGTCCTCTCTGCCTACAGGCCAAGGATACCTATACCAGTAGTATATCCCCTCTAACGCCTCCCATACAGCTCCCCTCAAACAGTACCACCCCTCACAAGTCCTCATTCAATCATACACTTAGAGGAGCCCTCAACCCTTCATTATCTCCCCTCTCCAGCCAACGAAACGATGGTCATTCGCCGGTGTATGGCAGCCGGGAAAAATCGCAGAAACCTCTGGGTACGGGGCTCTTGTAATATTAATTTTAGGACTAAATCCGAAGATATAGTGATTCTTCTGAAGCGTTCGAAGAGGCCGGCCTGCTGGGCGCTGCAGACTTGTATGTACCTCGGAGAATTCACACTCTACCTTTCTAGCCTCCTTCCCGAAGGTCGTGCTG